TGGGGATTGGTCCTGCTTTGAGCAGGGGGGTTGGACTAGATGACCTCCTGAGGTCCCTTCCAACCCTGATATTCTATGATTCTATGAAAAACAATTAAATGAAAAATAATTTTAAAGTCAATAGCTTTAGAAACCAGTGCTATTATCACTTGCTTAGTCACTTCCACCATGGACCAGTGTGTGCATGAAGATCTTTCACTTCACGCTGGACACTCGGACTTCAGGATTATAGCCAGCCTGATTCTGTGCATTAAGAAGTCATTATGCAGCCACATAAATGGCTGCGCAATGCCCATTTGTTTGGAAATTACCATGTAACTGCTCTAGAGTCTAAGCTTTCATTTAAAAAAAATTAAGTCTCTAGCCCTTATTGTGGAAAAGAAAAGCTTTAAAATGGGAATGGAATGCACAACTCTGCATATTCCTCAATCTGCAGACAGCATGGAGCAATTGCTAGAAGAGAAGTGTGAATGACTGCCATTCATCTCAAAGGGGCGTCTAACTCTGAAGCCTAATGATGACAATTTCAATGTTAAGTATTTCACTGCTTTTCATTTCAGCAGAAACATCGAGGTTGTGTGCTTATCCACTGTTTCTGTGTGTAAGGGCAGATGTCAGGACAGGATGCAAACAAGAGCACGTTGTTGCTGCCAAAGGCTTTTGGTGATGGGAACACAGAATTCAAACCTCCATTTCCTCAAATTTAAAATCATCTTTGTTCCTGTCCAAAGCGGAAAAAAAAAATCAAAAATACTCAGTCGCCTCTTGGATACTGCAAACAAACAAACTTCATTTCCCACTTCTTCTTGGGTGCCAAGAGCCCTTTGTGTGTCCGGTCCAGCTGTGAAAACTCCAGCATCCACCTGACAATTTCTACAGTGCTTCTGTGTATTTCAGTACAAAGATCTATAGCAGTGTGAAAACCTGAGGCTAGATAAAAATAACAAATTAAATGAACACCACAAAGGATGCTGCACTGGACTCTATGAGAGGAGCTAGCAAGGATGGGGGGAGGGCAATACCATGTGTTCAGGGAATATCCCACTGCGTAAATGTAGCTATAATGTGCTACATAAACAACAGGGCCGCAGTTCTAACAATTATTAACTGTCATTCCCTCTCTCTATCCTATTCAGCTCCTCTATCTGCTCCCAGTAGATCTGCCATAGTTACTGATGGGCCAGCTCCCATCAGTTATAGCTGTTCTAAACGACCCACCACTAGCACAAGCACTCCTGTGATAGTCCCCCGGGGTCCTCAGAAAGCCAGCACCACTTCTGAACTGTTTACCAGCCTGTGTGTAGCAGATGTGGGAGATTAGTACCAAGGCCAGGTCACAGGCACAAGAAACCCCTAGGAACAAGTGAATAAAGAACAGGAAAACAGCCAAAATCAATGTCTTTGTCTAGAGGGGATTCAAAATGTTACAGCTGCTGTTAGAACTCTCACTCTTCTCTGTAACAGGAATTTTATACAGCGGTATAGAATGAATTTGCAGAAGAGATCAGGCAAATCCATAGTCTGACTAGCGTTAGGATTCTCAAAAGAGGAAGGTTTTGCAGAGTAAGCCTTTCTATCATAAGAACAACACTCTCCACATTTATTCCCCACCTACCCCTATTAAAAAAAACAAACACACACAACCCTCAATCCAAAATCAAAGACACAAACAAAATTCAACTAACAATCAATGAACCAGACTAAAACATAATCCTACCCCAAGCAGAAATTTTACCCTGACTCCATGAAGTCCACCAGGGACTTCACTAATACTATCAGTTTTACACAGAAGGTGCTCAGATACTATGAATGGCAGCAGTACAAAACTCTAAGGGTACGTCTACACTTACCGGAGGGTCCGGCGGCAGGCAATCAATG